TTTTATAGTTTATTTTAAACATGCTGCACCTGTTAAACAAACTAGACTTAATTATCTACCCGTAATAAGTATATATCTACAATGATATGTAGTCATTATTCTGAATTCAAGTTATCTGTTCAAGAGAACTTCTTTGGAATTTAAATTTGAAATGATACAAACTTTAAATTTTTGTTTATTTCTTGCGTCATATATTTTAAGTTTTTCTATTTAACAATAGCTGCAATTATATTACATCAATTACGATACCTATTCTCGTTGACATGAGTATTTAATTTTGTTTCCCAAACTCGTAAATAAACACCAAATCCATGTCAAAATTTTAAATCTGCCTTTTGACATTAAACAGTTATGTACATCAACACTACATAACCTAGAAGCATGACATGGCTCAGGTTTTATTTTGCGATATTAAAACAACTGTAGTGGGTGGCCTTTATCGGCCAGCCGTCGTTGTATACATATCAATTTCATGTAATATTTAAATGAATCAAATTGGTTTATATACTATGAAATATGTGTGATGTTTTAATGGTGTAAACGGGCGTGCGATATGACTAGTTACACGTGTGTTGACACGGCAGGCGGTACATGGAAATGCTGTGGTTATCACAAATCTCAATTTTTTTTAGTAAAATAAACGGATACATATCTATAATATTAAAGGCAAAGTGGGGTATGTATATTGCTGAGGTTAAAGGTCAGTAATAAAACAAGGCCTTGTTGCAGCTGATGGTTGTTATTGACCTTACATGCTTGAAACACGTGCGCATTTACATATCGACGAATATAATGCCTCGTTTTTATATAATCACGTGCATTGCGTATGTAAATTATCATTTCAGAATTTCAGATACAAATTGATATAAAATGTGTTTTATGAGCAGATATAATTTTATGGATCGATTACTCGAGGTTAAATAGGATAGAAAAGAACAAATAGTCATTATAATAATCATTTAATTTAGAATAAGAACATACAATTACCAACATAAAAACACTAAACATGAATGGATAAGCTGACAGTTAAACTCCGATTAGTACTTTACTGTGTAGACAATCTTTCATAATTTTTACGGCTCCACAAATAAACGAGAAACATATACATTTATAAACTTGTTACCTGTAACATATACACACGTCATCCATCTACGTAAGTGTCTATAACAGACGCTATAGCTTCATGTACAAAATGGTTATGTCGCCAGAATCGTAGATATCATATTTCAACTCACGAACAGTAACTTTTCGGCATATATAGTTCAATTAAATGTTTTACATTGAAAAGCAAAGTTATCATTTTGTGTAAAAGTTGTGTTATAGAAGACACGTGTCATGTTTTCACGTGTAAAGATTGTTTAACGTCGGCGAGAAATATAATGTTTCTTTATATCCTACATTTTTTAAAAATGGTTCACGGAAATGTTGGTATTTGAAACAAGCCATTGTATACTGAATCTTCGGAAAGGTTATTACCTACAAATGCAAAATTCACGATAGAGAAATCGAACTGCAAAACAAATCTTGCGTGTAAGGTTTTAAACAGATATCATTTCCCGTTCACATAAAACAGGAACCTCTAAGACACCGACATCGACCTCTTTCATTAATTCTTGTAATTCTGAATTACGTGCATTAATATTAGTGTACTAGTCTTTAGAATTAACTGCTCTCATCAACGGCACTGTTGATAACGAATTCAAAGAAAAGAAGTCCCTATTTTTATAGAAGACATCATTAAACCACTATACAGATATTTTTGGGACTGCTCCGAATGGTGCCATTGGAGGGGCCAGTGAGTGCTATAGTCATATCGTTAGGTTTTGTGATGTCTCAACACTTAAATAAAACCAACGCCAGTCAAACGATGCACCTTAAAGGAGTGACTACATTGAACGGTACAAAGACTCATTCGTGCTGCCTTACTGTTCATTATATCTGCAACAGACGTAAATCACCAATTTGTACTCAACACTAGCCAATTTGACCGTTTTATCTACAGGAGAGGGTAGGGAACGGATGTCATTATGCTTACATAGTCTACAGTCTCCCGGCTTTTGATACAAGCATCAAGACGAGCTTGGGTGTTTTAGTTGACTCGACTTTCCAATGCTAGGTCCATTAGAGGCAGCAGAAATTCTTTATGATGGCACTATGGTTTTTCCATCAACAATTGCCCTCAGCATTGCAGAGGCCTGTGTACCATCGACCTTGCTACCCAAGATTGACAATATATCTTTTCAACTTGGATTCATTTGTAACAAGTTTAAATAAATCTTCCAAATTTTCTTTTTAAAATTTTTGAACATACATATACTATCTGGTCAGTTTCTCAAAGCGTGGTTAGAGTTAAGTGGTTGGGGAAATATTCCAAATATGGATCAATCAAATGAATGGAGATATTTTTCATCATTTCATAGCTGTATGTTTGTTGAGACAGATCACATCCTTGCGTGTTAATTTTAATTTGGAAGCCATTTTTTTCCGTAACAAAAATTTAAAAAATGTTCAACAATCCCTAGCTAACTCTAACCAATATTTGAGCAACTAAGGCATGCCATGTTTCAGTTCATTTGAATCGTAGCACGGTTCAGAATATGCAGACTCGACGTTCTTTTGAAATTGTTCAATACTGGAAATCACGAAAATGTATGATTGTCATGGTGTATTTCCCCACCGGTTTTATTTCTATACATTTTTTCGTTCAATTTTTATATTCCTCAGTCACGACATAGGTTTAATAAACTTGGGCACTTTCATGTACAAACCACAACCCATGCAGATTTATTCATTGTCAGGCTCTACTGAATCTAATTCTAAAAGAACTGACAGGTGTTTTTTGGACTGCTTGTCTTTTGTCCAATCCGGTGTGCACACATTCACAGAAAAGTCGTTCCACTAAACCATAGAGGCAGACACATTGACTCATTTATTGAATTAATGTACTCCGAAAAATTGTCAATCTTACTTTAAGTATTAACATGAACGTAACGTTTTAAAAAAGGTTTGCATAGGGCTTTCGTGGTATATTTTTTATAATTCAAGCTCAATATTTTTTTTCAGTTTATTGTATTGTGTTCTTGACAATGGCTGATAATATTTGATGAATAATTCTGAGTGTTAAATATCTCAATGAATATTTAATCTCATCTGATAACTCTTAGATAGGTCAGTGTAGTCGAGAAATTAATTCCACACAACTCATTAGTCGAAGTTTCAGTCCAGGTAACCTTTACATTCCTAATGGGAACCATACTCTTTACTTGTCAAAGACTTTTCCAGGCCGGCAGCGACAGGTGGTCATTACTTAGCCAATGAGAGCCAGCTTCTGTACCTATCAAAGACTTTCTCAAACTGACTGCGACAGGCGACAATTACTGGCCCAATGAGACTCTATCAAAGACTTGTACCAACCGGCGGCGCCAGGCGACAATTACTGGCCCAATGATAGCCTATCAAAGACTTGTCGAGACCGGCGGCGCCAGGGGGAAATTACTGGCCCAATGAGAGTCTATCAAAGACTTGTCGAGACCGGCGGCGCCAGGGGGAAATTACTGGCCCAATGAGAGTCTATCAAAGACTTGTCGAGACCGGCGGCGCCAGGCGACAATTACTGACCCAATGAGAGCCAGATTCTTACTCTCAAAGACTTACCCAGACTGAATGTGCCAGGCTACAATTACGTCTATTGGAGTGTGTTGATCACCTCGTTTTCGGAACAATAAAACCTAAACGGGTTCACCATAGTTTGGGACAATTCCAATGTAAACCTCTGGCAAACAGAGCTTTAATTATAAATAGGATTTAATAGCCGTTTTGTTGTGTAACAACACAGATGTTGGAAATTTCATCACAAAACTATAAGACTGCTGCATTTCTTTTCATTGTTTTTGATTTTGTGTTTTAAGAGTAGATGTGCTTTTCCTATGCCACTTGCCAACTCCGTTAAGTACCGGAAGTTTTCTAGTTAGACGTGTCATTACTGTAATGACGTAACGATTAATGGACGTCCCGAGATGAAACTGTACCTTAATGTACAATCAACCTAATTTACTCTTCAGAATACGGCGGTAGAGTTAATCAGTGTTTTATCATGAAGAAACAAAGCTCGTTTATTGGCAATACCCTCGGGACTCCACCAGCAAAACATGTTTATAGAACAAAACAAACGCTACGTCGCCACAATTATAAATAAACAATGGTACACTGCATTGTTACACGTAACGGCAGTAAATACATGTGATTGTGTACCTCCCTAAATATAGTCGTAAATTACATAATTTTCGTTTTTACATATAACTCATTGTGTATGCGCATCCTTTGAAATCGAGAATGTACTGATGTCGTAATCAATTGTTCCCGTTCTAGATATTTCTTGATTACGGTCATGCTTACGTATTACATTTTCTGAAGCTTAAAATCATCATTTTGACCTGAAGTGTCAGTGATTTTTGTCCATCATTCATCTGCTTCCCCATCTATCCCTACTCATATACACGTATCTTACATCACCTTATCGTCTACCTATATTCCCGTTTCTTTTGTTACTCTATATGTCAGTCCTCGTTATTGTTTCTCAATCCTACTGTTGATATACCCTACATGTGTTCATTTCTCTCAACGTCACAATGGCTAGCATTGTCGTTCTTAGCATTTTCAATACCATACTTAGCCATATATGTCGATTACACTAACATCACCATAGTCATACCTACCATTTGCCTTAATATCGTCATTACTACCCGAACTGTTCCTGCAAACATTTTCATCGTCTTCCCTTAAGTTCTGACTAACGTCGCCATTGCTATACCTTCTGATGTACCTGATATCATCGTTTTTATCCCTAACGTTCTCATGAATATTAACACCGTCATCAACAGCATTCTCACTAACGTCACGATTGCGATGCCTTCAGATGTCCCTAATGTCATTTTTGCTCTCCCCACCGTTCTTCCTAACATTATCATCGTCTTCCCTTAAGTTCTAACGTCACGATTGCGATGCCTTCAGATGTCCCTAACGTCATCTTTTCTCTCCCTACCGTTCTCCTGAATATTATCATCGTCACCCCCAGTGTTCTCACTAACGTTGCCATGGCTACGCCTTTTGATGTCCTTAAAGTCATCGTCGATGTCCCAAGCGGTTTTTTCTTAAACATTGCCATCGCAATACCTACCGTTCGCCTTAACATCGTCATTGTCATGAAGGGGCTGCGATACGTAAAGATAGATGCGACATTCCACACTCCCTACCCGTGGCGGAATGTGTTTCGCAGGAGAGCTGAGAAAACTACCGGTTTGTGTTACGTCGTTGGGGCGACGATACTTTACACTAATTAATCTGGATGGCATAGGATGACCTCCCGTTTATTATTCAGTGAGGTAGGCTATAATACTTCAAAGAGACTCAGCCCCAAGTTGACCCTGGTTGTTCATGGGGTGATAAAACCGGCAAACAAACATCGTTGCCATGCCGACAATTTGATTTTACGAACATAAGAATATACAGAACAGTTTGTAAAAGAATGGTTCGTGTACATGTACATCAACATGCATGGTAATTGAAATTATCTTTTAGATGGTAGCTTCAAAACTATCTTTCCCGTCTCCTGACATATTTCCTCCCTTTTGTTTGCTCTCCTTTAGTTACCAAGTCACTTCCGTTATGTATATATATATATATATATATATATATATGTGTGTGTGTGTGTGTGTGTGTGTGTGTGTGTGTGTGTGTGTGTGTGTGTGTGTGTGTTAAGTTAAAATTCCAATCGTCCGGTACATATATAGAAAAATAATAAAACTGGAAACACTTTCGATATATATGAATGTATATAAAATGTTTGCCCTTTCTCAATGACCATTTTCCATTAAATTCTTATCCTATTAGTGTCGTACACATTTCTTTCACGCAGACTTACTTCCCATAGGCTTAGTTTCCCCTTCATTCGTCTCAACCCATGCCTTACAATTAGGGTGTAAGAATTGTACCTGCTGTCCTCATTACATAAGCGTAAGAGGCGACAAAACCTGGGACGTTTGTGTTTTTATTTCTGGTGTCTCCCTTGACAACGCCTTACTGTTTGGCTTTTAGTCGGATGTTCTCCCCTGTGAGAAAGGTTCTGGGTGCTGTCCCCTGATCGAGACATAGTAGAAGCTTTCAAAATGGTAGTTACTACCGCCTGCTTAACGTTCAGCGTTTTGGTAAACTAATAGTTTGCTCATTGATAGAATAACCTGGCCGGTCGTGGTGTCCTGCTTGCGACCTTCGGCAGTATACTTCACTGAGGTAGCACTATAAAGTCGGCTTCATTTCCACACTATCACAAACAATTTACATGAAGGTATCTCAGTCTCCCGAAAAACACGCACACTCAACACGTGCACTCATTTCGTATAGATCGGGAGGCTGTCCTTAAAAGATCAATGCTGTTGATAGGACGTTAAACAATATAATGCAAGCTAATCATTTCAACCTAGCACTCACGTTCACAACATCACAACCGTCCCTCACTGCTATTTAGGTTCGCACTCATCGCCACACCCCCTCCATTACCAACGCTCGACCCGTTAACGCTGCCCCTGCCATTACATGTGTTTGCTCTCATTACCCCTCCAGATATACATTTCTTTCTTTACCACATAGCGGATCTCACCAAAAAGTGTTTTCTGAGCATACAAAAATTATAATATGCGCTATTACCGTTGCCATTGTAAGACCGAGGTAAACCGTGTTTTCCTCACCAAACATCCTATTATCTGCTTCATTTCAAGTATATACTACGTCTATTGCATAAAACGTTTATCTGTACGTCAGTGTTGTGACGAAGATAACTTAAACGTATTATCCAGCCGTCCCTGGTGGCTTCCTCATCTGCGTATACGGTATAGAAGGGCGTGTTAAGCTCCATCAATACACACGGAATACCCTATTTATAAAGACAGCATAACATTTACTTCTTAAGAAGAAAACAAATTATGAAAATTGTACAATAGCTAATTAAAGATTACAAATTTTATATCAAAAATACCCCATTAGCTAGATTCTTTTCGGAAACTTTCGTGCTTCATTTCGTCCCGACCACTCCCACACCTTCTCTGTATTCGTTATTGTTGTAACCTCCATCCCATTGTCTGTTCCAGCCTCCTTTTTACCATTCCCTTTCTGATAACACGTCGTGATTAATGAAAACTAGGTAAGACAGCTTGTAAAGCCCTTTTAACCAATTATAACCAATTACTATTATAATACTTCTACCGTGAGCTACACGTACATCCGACCCCCACCGTCAGTATTAGCTTCCAATTACGACGTACCTAGAATTCTGTTTCGGCAAAGATTGAGCCTCCGTGGAAAAGGAACTGTCGAATAAAAAATCTTTAAGTGACAAGCAAATTAACAAAACCTAAATCAATGTATTCAAAATGATATTTCTAAAACGTGTGAGACTGTCTGCACAAAGAATTGTGTTAATTGTTGTTTTATTTATTGGTAAAATGTGACGAACTCGTACATGGTGGCGTATTAAATAAAGTAATTGCTAATATATCTGAAAGAAAAAATGACAAGGAAAATGTCTATACCGTCAACAATTTGAAGTAAACTTAACCACACACACAAGGGAGGAAATTAATAGATACTTAGATAAAGATGTTTGGATTAAAGGTTAAGGTCGAGTTAGAACTGGAACACAACATGACATAATGGCACGGAGCGCTCGATGTGTAACAATAATTATGAGATCCCTATAGACTTTTTGGCGCCTGAAGATGGCCTTGCCGTAACAATCATTATACACCATATTTTTTTTATACTTGTTCGGATAGCAAAGTGTCACGTCGTATTACATGTGACATTGCGTACCGTATGTACGTGCGCGAACATCCAGCGCGTATGGAAATGGTATCAATTTGCCCGTACGATGTCATGTGGATACTAGTGTCGTTTTTACATTCCTGGTAAACACTTTACTTGTCATTCAATTAAGTGTGAGAGGTCGCGATTTCTATGTTGGGGGTAATAGGGATTATTTTCGAGTTAAAAACATGTGTACATTAAAATGGAATAACACTTCTGTCGACCGTAAATATATATTTTTAATGTCTTAACGTGGTTATCGCCCTTTCTTACAGTATGCAATTATACAAACAAAATATCTAACTCCATAGTCAAGGGTTACGTATGCTAATCAGTCGATAGAATGCAATATGTAATATCATTGAATTATGATATAAACAGTCAAACTAAATATTTTGTTATATGTTTTCATGTTGTACCCATCGCTTCTTAAAGGAGATTAAGTAATAGGGAAAGATTCGCAACAGTCAGCATTCAAGCAGGAAATCGGGTATTCAAAGTGACACTAAACAACAAGACTATAGAGTAAAACCTAAGTAATATAGATGAGAAGTTACCCGGATAGGAACCTGTCATTTGTGACGTGTTTTAGTTCAGACGGCCTTGATCATATCAACCATGTTGTGCTCAACAAAAATTGGGTGTTTTTCGGAACCGAAAACTTGCAACAAATTGAAGCCCAATCTAATCTCAACAAAGACGAAGACAATGGCCTCTTTGTCTCGTTCCACATGTCCTTCTATGCAGAAGAATTCCATAGATTTTCCCTTTTGTCCAATTCATTTAGCATATTTTGAAGTAAAATGACCTATTCCCAGAAAATCAGTTTGTGTCATGTATTCCACATTAACTCAGGAAAAAAAAAAAACACTCCATATATCAGTGTTTTAGTACAAAGTCGTCCTTGATGGGTTGCAATTAGGCTTCACATCTCGAGAACTTTATCTAAAAACGGTTTGAATATCAATGAGGCGAGAAAGTCAGGTCGACAGGGGCATTGTATATGTACTACGGTATCTGGAGGGAGTTCACTTACTGATGGGAAATCCCGTTAGGATGATAAAACTAGTAAGAAGTGCTGCATGTAGTAGATTTGACCTCTTATATCGTCAGAAGCTTGGGATGCAGGATTACAACCGATTTCAAAACATGAATCCTGATTAATTGCAAATTGGGCCACAAATGTCGACAACACAAAACTATAGGACGAAAAAGTACGCGATAGCATATATGGCCCCACTTCAATTGTTTTGACTAGTTAGTTAGATACGTCCTAAAAAACAATTAATTGTCTTGTCCTAATCCCCCCCCTCTCTCTCTCTATATATATATATATATACTGATGGTAACTCTTTATGATCATGCCCTTCAAAAGACAATCTGATGCTATTTGATGTCTCATCCTGTCTTTGTCACAATGATAGTTAGCATGAGTTCTGAACGAAGGAGATACAGATGCTATTGAAAATATTCAGTATGAAGCCACCAGAATTATCACTGGTTTGTCCATCTTTACAAGTAAATCACTCTTATATCAAGGCTTAAACTGGCAATCCTTAAAGGAACGTATGGTGTCCACTTATAATCTCAGAAACAAAGATGGATATCAAATTCCCCATCATCGTCTTTGTCTAAATATGTCTTCCTAACACCTGTAATTTATGGAACAACCTGTCACTAGAAAAAAAGAAATAGCACCACTTTGAAACAGTTTCAAAAGTCTATCAGACCAGCAGTCCGTCCTGTCAATGTGGACATTTTAATTTTCGTTGTCCATTATACAACGTAGAAAGAAGTAAAATGCTGAGACATTTATCATGGTTTGGTAATATTACATATGAAAGCCTATGTATGGTGATAATTCCTTGGACGTAGAATCAAATGAAGCTATTTGTAAACACGTGCAAACTTTTATTGTCGATAGTAAAAGATTTGTGTAAGTACAAATACAGGTCATTATAATTCTACATGTCGACCGTGCCATTTGACTAGCCCTGAGCACCTCCTTTATTTTCTTATTCATTACTTCAGCATCCCTTTTTCTTTCTGTTGTTTGTACCTTTCTTCTTTACTGTCCCTTTTTCTTCTTTACTTAAAATTTGAAAATTTCATTGATGTACTGATTGATTTAGACCATTGCTGAGTTGTGCATATGTATAATTTATTATGGAGAGGACATTAATAAGTTGTGACAAGTAGCGTCCGTTCCTTTTGTGTGATATTTATGCAATAAAATTTATATTAATTCAAATTCATGAATTCTTTGTTCATATATATTCGACATTAGATGAAGCGTGTTGTAAACCTGATCATATATAAATACAACTGTTCTAATTGTTACATACAATGGTTCTCACTGTTACATACAATGGTTCTTACTGTTACATACAATGGTTCTTACTGTTACATACAATGGTTCTCACTGTTACATACAATGG